ATTGTATGAATATATCACATTTTGTTTAGCCATTCATCAGTTGGACATTTGAGTTGTTCCACTTTGGAGTTACTATGAATCGTGGCAGGAACAGTTGTATACAAGTCTTTATGTGGATATGTTTTAATTTACCTTGGGTAGATACCTAGGAGTGGAATTGCAGTTTTGTATACTAAGTTTATGTTAAACCTTTTTTTTTTCCCTCAATGTCTCAGATCTCTTATTAGATTGACAATAAAATGTTTGATCAAGAAACTAGCCTATTGAAACTAAAGTTGGTGAAGAAAGTTCTAATTAATATTCTTGTTAATTTGGAATTAACCACTCTTTTACTCATTTTTCAAACACTTTTGGAGCTAGCCATTGTACTAACCATTCAATATTAAAGTTAACTACACATCATTAGTTTTCTTTGATGGCTGGAAATCTGTGTGTACATTAGGATGGATATACTTTTTGAGATTTTTTTTTTAGTTGACTTTACTGAATTCCTTAAACTAACTTGCTTGGTTTTACTTGCATTTTTCTTCTAAAAAGAGAGAACAGGAAAAAAAAAATGTGTGTAGTATCTAGTTTTACAGCCTGGAAGGTAAATTTGACACTGATAGATTCTGTTGATGATGGGCCAAGGAACTCCAGAGGTTTGAGAGATACGGGTTGTACAAAGCTGTATGGGAATGAGAGACCATTCTCACTGACCTACAGAGGTCTCGTTTTCTTTGTGCTAACAAACAGAGATAAAGAACATGATAAAACTGGCCCTGATGGTCTCAAGGAAGATAGTGGTGGTGATGATCTAAAGCTGAGAAGAATTGAAGAAATAGCTAAATTCTATGGTTCATTCAGATATGGATTACTCTACTACTGAGCTTATTTATATCTACATCCCCCCCATTTAGACTCCAGAGTTTTAGAATGGCAATACTGGGATGCTATAATAACTTCTATTTTAGAAAAGTTAGACACCTTATTTGGGGAGCTATCTGGTAAAATCGAACCAGAAAAGAACTAGGAGTCTTTAGAGGAATGGGTTACTCCAGGGCTGGGGCACATAAAGCGTAAGATGAGCCTGGATCATCTCGTGCCAAAAAGGAAGAAAGGGCTCAAGAACATCCGAGTCATGTCAGGGACATATGCACCAGATTGAAGTCAGGTCAGTCCTGGGGCAATTTTATCAACAAAATAAGTGATGATAGGAATGCATTGTACAATAAAATAAAAGAGTCCATCCTAATGGAGAAAGGAAAGCTCTACCTAACAGTAGATCACTAACAAGTGTAGAAAGAACAATTGAATTAAAAAAAATATCACCATTTGGCTTTCACCATAGTAATACTTGATTCAGGCAAGAATCATCAATCTATGCTAAAACTGGTGGGTACAAGTGTGGTAAAGAACAAGATATTTGCATAGTTTCAAAGTATCTCCCCAAAAAAACTTATAAATTGCTCACTAATTTGTAAGTATCAAATACAAATTAATTAACTTCAGAGCGAAGAAAGCTGGAAGACACATCTTAACCAAGTAATAAAAGTAACTACCAACAGGAATGGGACAAATTCACATCATGTGCTTTCTGATAAGAGGCCTTGAGAAGTACATGGCATTTTTGGCCCACCAAAAATGAACAAATATTGAGGAAAATTAGACAAACTCAAACTGTGGGGTTTTCTACAAAGTAACTGCCTTATACTTTTTTTGCATGTGTGTGGCTGTGCTGGGTCTTTGTTGGGGTGTGCGGGCTGTTCGTTGCAGGTGTCTCTCTAGTTGTGGCGTGCGGGCTTAGTTGCCCCACAGCATGTGGGATCTTAGTTCTCTGAGCAGGGATCAAACCCGCGTCCCCTGCATTGGAAGGCAGATTCTTAACCACTGGACCAATGGACCACCAGGGAAGTCCCCTGCCTTTGAGGCTACTAATTCTATGTTTTGCTTTGTTTTTAACTAGTCCACACTTTATTTAGATTTATTTAGTTTTTAGCTAATGTCCTTTTCCTGTGCCAGGATCCTATCCAGGTGGCATGCATTCTTTATGGTGAAGTGTTAACATATCAAATTATTCATTTGGGAAAACCAGTGTATTTTCTGTATTAATTATAGAAAATTCATGTTGTTTGTGAAATTTACCTGTCTACCCCCAACCCCCCAATCCTCCTAAGTCTCAATCTGATTTTTTTAAATTGCAATGTTAGATCTATGTGCAAAAATATAAAGTACATCGTGATTGTAGGTTAACAGTTGCATATTTAAGATTTATTTTGCCTGTATGTTTTTACTCAATGACTTATTTCCTCTTTCAAGGCAAGTATGAACGTGTGGCATGATGACACGACTCAGTTTCTTAGAAATTTGTTTAATTTGTTGACTACTGCCCATACCTTTGGTAATCCTGTTCATGACAAAAAAAAAAAAAAAAAAAAAAAAAAAAAAAAAAAAAAAAAAAAAAAAAAAAAAAAAAAAAAAAAAAAAAAAAAAAAAAAAAAAAAAAAAAAAAAATAGGAACAGGCTTTGTCTGGGGGGATTCAAGTCTAATGAACCACATACCTACACATGTGCATACTAGAGGTCAGTACCATTACCTCTCAGTGAGAAATGAAGGCCAGGAGATTTTGATGGTCAAGACTGTGATCACTGGAATCTGAGTAACTCAAAACACTTAACTCTGCTCTTACTTTGCAGCCTTACGTTGGGCAGATGATTCACTTGCCTTAAAGTTCTGGAAAACGGGGAGACAATTCTCCATCAGGACTGCTATACAGGATAGTGATATAATGCATATGAAGCAATTAGCATAATCCTGATATGTAATAGTAAGCCCTTATAAATAATGTTGACTATTATTATTATAATATATACCCACTTGAAAACTCTATAAAACAAATGAGCTGGGGAACGTACAACCCTAGTATATGGAGAATAGCAAAAATCAGGTTGTATCAACCCCTTATTTAGGGATGTGAACCACACTTTACTTTTTTCTGGTAGCCCCACTCACAGTGGCTGCTATCCACATTTTCTTTTCCTAACTCCGAAATCTCACTCTGAATACTATAGTACACTCATAATTTTTAATTAAAGCACTGTGTCCTCACAAACACTTTCTTCAAACTCAAAGCAAGCGTAGTGCTTGAAACACTGTAAAACTTGCCAAAGAATCTGAATGGCAATGATAGTAAAGGAAAATACACACTACGTTATAAAAACAATGGCATTTGGGGAAAATAGTAAGAGCACAGAGGTTGCTGTGAGCAATAGAAATTGTAACTGATGAATCATTTTTCTTTCTGACGTAGGCTCACCACCCAGAGCCAAAATACTTTGCAAAACCAAAGCCGCTATCTATCTTCGGTCAATACCTGTCTTCCTTCCTAGAAAGCTCTATCTCCCTCATAATTCCTACCAAGTTTGCACTGACTACAAGGTTATTCATGATCAACCCTCCTTACTAGCTGTCAGTGTTTGCCATTATACAATTTCATACTAGTCCAAAAAATATAGAGCGTGTAATATAAATATACATGTTACTATCTATGTAAAATGTTATGGATTTTATAAAGATAATTAAAATGACCCAGTTTGCCCTATAGTTAATTCAAACAGGGGTCAGCAGATTATGGCCTGAGGGTCAAATCTGGCCATGCCATTTGTTTACATGTTGTCTATGACTGTTTTACTCATAAAGCAGAGTTCAGTTGTGACCAAGATCATATGCTTTCCAAAGCTGAAGATACTTACTATCTTGCCCCTTTAGAGAAAAGGGCCAACCTCTGTAACTATAACAAAACTACCCACTAAGTGTCAATTAAAAAGCTACAAATAAAGAATTAAAAGAGTTCAGAAAGTTGGAGTGGTCACTTTCAGCAATGCCATTTTGAGAAGTTTTTGGTACCAATAGAAATAGGACTAAAAGAGTAAGAATGCAGATCGGTTATAAACTTCTAGGCAACAAAAAATGATGGAAATATGTGAAGCAAAGAAAAAGCAAGAGAGAGGATGAAGCTTGCCAATTAGGTTAGTCATTATTCTCTTACGATAATTTGCAAAGGCCTTTTCATCTTTACCATTTTTCTAACCTGATGTATGTTTTATACAAGTCACATTCCATATGCTTCTAAGACATCTCTTAATTATATGCTTGCTTTCCAGCTGGGAACCCCACCCCAACAAGGCAGACTCACAGATATGAATTTGGTGACAAACATTATAATTAATGACATTCTCTGAAACTCTGCCTAAATTTAACCTTCTTAATCTTTTCTGTCATTTGATATTAAATATTTATTCAGCACCAAAAGAATGAGATATTATTTATCTTCCAAAACAAAATCACATGACCTTGCAACACATTAATTTGCAAAGATTATTACTGTGCTGCTCTTTTCGTTTGTGTTTGTTCCTTTTCCCTAAAGTTCCATGAGGCAAAAAAGCTAGATGGATTAGTAGGACTTCTACTCTTAAAAGACCAAAAATTATTTTGCTTTAATCAGAAAGGATATATTACATTAACAGGTCTAGGGGAGCTATTTTTAAAAGCTCTTGAAAACTAAGTTTTCATTATAAAAAAATTTATTGCAGAAAGACAATTTATGTTTACATGTAAAAATATTTTAGGCTCAATATGAAAAGCTGCTGCCATATTACCTTTTGGCCAATTATTCAGATAGCTACATTTTTATAACCTGCTTTATGTACTTAAAACCTAAGAGAAATGTGAAACACAAAAAAATAAGAAACAAAATACAGTATTTGTAAAAAAAATGACTATCTTATTTGAAATATATATATAATTCTCAACGTATAAATGAATAGGCCATAACATGTAAAACTTTTAAGTGTTATAGGTTAGGACAAAAAATTAAAAAAAAAAAAATGTAGGGGGAGAGGAGAAGGAAGAAGAGAGAAAGGGAACAAGAGAGGGAGAGACAAACAACCAACTAAAACTAAGACAATCCAGATTCATATAACTGCTCATCTGATGTGAAGAGATGAAGAAAAAAATGGACTTTCAAACTTGAAGGCTAAAATGTTTTACTATTTCAACATGAAATTCCTTCAGAGCTCTCATAATATGTATGTGGTTCTGGAACAAAATTCTTACTTCTTAGCTCATTAACAATGTGTACATTTGAAAATAAATATATACAATATATCAGAACAAACCCTTTGGGACCATATTTAAGCAAGGACAACCAAGGAAACAGAATTTAGGCATTTAGGATGCCTGTAACATTTAGGATATATGGTATTTTGAAGACTAATATTCTCTTCCTTGCTCATTAGCCTGAAGTCTTCGTTATACACATGTTGTTTCTAAAGTAGTTTTCTCACAGAGACAAGCATCTTGATGGGCCAAACCAATTTCATTTTCTCCAGTACTACAAAAATTAAAAACAAAGAAACAGAAAATAATTAGCTTCACTGTTCACAAAGAAAAACAAGTTTATAGTTCTAAAAACTGCTTAGAAAGAGACATATAATTCTTTAATAGAAAAAAAAACCCCAAAACACCCTCAGGTAATTCCAGTCCTTAATTTTTTTTAAAAGAAGTCTTCTATTAAAAAAAAAAAAAAGGTGAAATTATTACTTTACTACATGCCATGAAGAGGATTTAAATTAACTACAATGTACAGGATTCCTAAGACTTTGCTTAAAAATCAGTTTATATGAGCAAATATTTGGGGGAGGGAATGTTTGCTAACTGTAAGCTCAAGATGATCTCATTATTACATGGCAGACAAATCTAGCACTAGGAAGGCAAAAATTCCACAAAATTTTGCAGTGACAGATGATTAATATTTTGAGTAGTGAGCTTAGTTCTTGGTATGACATTTTTAGAGACTGTGAAAACGTATAATTTATTCCAGAGTGCAGCCAATGTACAATACAGAGTACAGAAATGGTCTGGAAAAAAAAAATCAAAGGAGGGCTTCCCTGGTGGCACAGTGGTTGAGAGTCCGCCTGCCGATGCAGGGGACACAGGTTCGTGCCCCAGTCCGGGAAGATCCCACATGCCGTAGAGCGGCTGGGCCCGTGAGCCATGGCCGCTGAGCCTGCGTGTCCGGAGCCTGTGCTCCGCAACGGGA